CCCCCCCTCCCTTATAGTTCTCCTTTAATGAATGTCCTTAATTAGATCATCCCAAACAATGGCCCCTCCCCCAGACAGCCTGCTGCCTATACTGAGCACAGTGGTCTGTAATGTCGGGGGAAACATGCAGTATATCACTCCACACATATCCTAGGGGAATGGTTCCATGTAACCCCCAAGAGGTCTGAGGGGGGTCTCCAGAGTTCTGGGTCCATAGTCCGTGAGGGGGGGGGTCTCCATAGTTCTGGGTCCGTAGGAAGGAGGCTCCTCCCCCAGCCCCAGTGACGGTTCAGTCACAATAGACAACAGTGATAAGTTCTCCATAGATTGGAGCAGTAATCCGCGATATTGATTATTGGTTGATGTACAATGAGGGGGGAAGCAGTTCTATCGGTGGGGGTCAGAGGTCACACTTCCTGTGAGACGTAGAGAGGTGACAATGAAGCCGATGACACTTCTATGATCTGTTTCCGCAGCTTTCCCGGGGAGGGAGGTTTGTCCGAAGGTCCCCAGGATAGCGTGTATGCAGCCGTGGCTGAAACCAGATTGCCGGGACGACCGTGAATGCCGCAAACACCAAAAGTGCTGCGACACCCCCTGCGTCAAACGCTGCACGAACGTCTGAGGTAAGCACTGCTAACTTCGCACCTATTGTTCCCTATAAAGACCCTCATACCTCCCGCTCCCTATAGATGATAATGTACAAGACCCTCATACCTCCCGCTCCCTATAGATGATAATGTACAAGACCCTCATACCTCCCGTTCCCTATAGATGATAATGTGCAAGACCCTCATACCTCCTGTTCCCTATAGATGATAATGTACAAGACCCTCATACCTCCTGTTCCCTATAGACGATAGACTCTAATGTACAAGACCCTCTTGCTCCCTATAGATGATAATGTACAAGACCCTCATACCTCCCGTTCCCTATAGATGATAATGTACAAGACCCTCATACCTCCTGTTCCCTATAGATGATAATGTACAAGACCCTCATACCTCCTGTTCCCTATAGACGATAGACTCTAATGTACAAGACCCTCTTGCTCCCTATAGATGATAATGTACAAGACCCTCATACCTCCTGCTCCCTATAGATGATAATGTACAAGACCCTCATACCTCCTGTTCCCTATAGATGATAATGTACAAGACCCTCATACCTCCCGCTCCCTATAGATGATAATGTACAAGACCCTCATACCTCCTGTTCCCTATAGATGATAATGTACAAGACCCTCATACCTCCTGTTCCCTATAGATGATAATGTACAAGACCCTCATACCTCCCGTTCCCTATAGATGATAATGTACAAGACCCTCATACCTCCCGTTCCCTATAGATGATAATGTACAAGACCCTCATACCTCCCGCTCCCTATAGATTATAGACTCTAATGTACAAGACCCTCATACCTCCTGTTCCCTATAGATGATAATGTACAAGACCCTCATACCTCCTGTTCCCTATAGACTCTAATGTACAAGACCCTCATACCTCCTGTTCCCTATAGATGATAATGTACAAGACCCTCATACCTCCTGTTCCCTATAGATGATAGACTCTAATGTACAAGACCCTCATACCTCCTGTTCCCTATAGAGTCTAATGTACAAGACCCTCATACCTCCTGTTCCCTATAGACTCTAATGTACAAGACCCTCATACCTCCTGTTCCCTATAGATGATAGACTCTAATGTACAAGACCCTCATACCTCCTGCTCCCTATAGAGTCTAATGTACAAGACCCTCATACCTCCTGCTCCCTATAGACTCTAATGTACAAGACCCTCATACCTCCTGTTCCCTATCAGATGATAGTGTTAGAAGTAGGGATGCACTGATACCTTTTTTTCGGTTTCAAGTCTGAGTAGCGATTATCCTTTTTTCTGACTCACCGATACCGAATACCGATACCGGAATTCCCACTAAGGAAGCCGGGCGCCGTGTAATGACTCGCCGCCCGGCTTCCCGATTACCCGCGAAAACCGCCTCCATGCTCCCTCGTCACCAGGTGATGAATGAGCATGGAGCCGGCTTTTTGGCCAATCGGGAGGCTGGGGGTGGGTGATGACTCGCCGCCCAGCTTCCTGATTTGTCCAGCTTCCGGACCAATCAGGAAGCCAGTCAGCGAGTCATTACTTGCCGCCCAATTTCCTGATTGGCCCGGGAAGCCGGCTCCATGCTCCCTGGCGACGAGGTAGCATGGAGCCAGCTTCCCGGCCAATCAGGAAGCCGGTGGTAATGATTCGCGGCCCGGCTTCCTGATACCAGTATCGGAGTAAGCATCGGGAGTATTAGGGCGGGTACCAGTACTCGCCCAAGTACTTGGAATCGGCAGCGATACCCATACATGTCAGAAGCATGTCCAATGGTCCTATTATATTAAATACAACCAAAAGATCGATTCATTCACATGACAAACGATATAAAGTTCACGTGAGTCCCGTGCTCCAATGACCGAGTATTTGTCAGACTATCACAACCTGAAAAATGGCCGGGTAGTGAAGGGGGTGCAACATGTTGGTACTGAAGGGGTTAAAGGGCTAGTTTTAAATGTAAGTGGGCTGGTTGCCATTTTTTGTTTTTCCAATGATGGGGAGTAATGACCCATCAGAACCTCATTCATAAGTACGAAGGGCCGTCTCAGAGAAGTGGTGGCGGGGAGGAGCAAGTCCTGGTTTCATCAACATACGGATATGAACCATAGCAGCTATGTATATAGGATTTTAGGTGTGGGGGGGCGGAGCATGAAGGTTTTTTTAATATGTTACAAGATTGTTACTTTGTAGCGAGTCACAAGCTGAGGGGCTCCAGCAGGGGCTGATCTGTGTTAGACATTCGCCAACGCAGCCAAGAACTGCTATCACGTACCGGAGGAGGAGCGATTGGCTGAGGAGGCCTCCCTTGCGGCTCTTGTCAAGTGGCGTCAC